TTATTGCTTTTAATGTTTTGTCTCTTTTCTTTTTCATTTTCTTCTACTGAGTCTCTCCAAACAAAGTCCGAAACCAGATCTTTCCTTGTATTTGCATGAATATTTAAATACTTATTGAGATTACAAAATTTAAGGAGCTAGGAAAAGAAAAAAAAGGAACGAAATTAATTTCTTAAGGGGGTACAAATGTAATAAACTAAAACACTTAGGCCTAACAAAAGTTTCAAATTTTAGGGGGGCCCGAGTGTCTTTTCTCTTCGACTTGGGTCCGCCAGTGGTTGGATTATGTATTTGAGATAGGGACGATTTGGGTTATACCAGCAGTCTTTATTTTAGAACCTATTTGATTGGGTTTATTTATTAATTAAAAGAGTTTATTTAAAGTTATAAATACTTTTAAAATTTTTTAGACTGGTTGATTGTATTTCAAATATGCTTATAAATTTTAAATAAGCTATTTTACAGCTTGTGAGAGAAGCTTAAAAAATCCTATAAGATCTTTTTTCAAAAGTATTCTTATTTTATTTTATAAATTTGACTTGATTTCTTGTTATGTATCAAAACATATAAGCTATATTTGAATAAATCATACCAAACAGAAACTTAATGTTTACAGAGTAATAAGGTTAGAAAAATAACTCCTTTGAATTTTCTAATATCTTTTATTAAAATGTTTTCTTCTAAGATATAATGTTATATCTAATTATGAAATCAATCACCCCGCAAAAAATATAGTATATAATACAAGTTTTGTTCTATATCTCTAAGAAGGGTTAGGAGGTGCGGATAAATGCATAGTTTTAAGTTTGATTTTTTATCTGAGTATCTGCATTTTAAGTGAGGGATCTTAGTGATAGGTTATTAAGTAATTTAGAGTACTAAATTAATGATTGATGCTGTGAAGTTTAGTCTCCTTTATTTTGTTTATTGAGAGAGAGCGTATTGCTGGTTTGTTACAAAAAGAAAGAGAGGTTAATGGAAGGGTCCTTTATTCTGTTAGATTAATTTGGACTGATATTAACCACTTGATGTGTGGAACCGACTTCAATTGATCCGTGAGCTGTTGGGTCATTCTCGGGTCCTGGACTTGACTGCAAGTTGTCATCGTGTTTCGCCCCCTCAAGTGGACCCACTATAATCAAAGTCCTGGTTTGGGCTACAGCAAGTGGGTCTTATATTAGATGAATCATTATCAAGTGGGCCTATTGTAGTAGACAATATCTGACCGTTGGATGTACCAGCCACCTTGATTATTAATTTTCAAAGGACAGTATGGGAAAGTGAAGAATAACTAATGGAGCCCACTAATTTTTATTGTCTTTTGCTGTTTGGGAAACGTGGATAGAGACGAAACCAACTAAAACAGTAAATTATTTTTGTGGTCATCACTTTAACTTTGGTCGCATGCATCAATTTGCTTCTGCCATACAGTGAAAGATGATGATAGACATGTATATCTGTTGGGGGAATCTTAAACAGTGTGCTCTCTTCAATTATTGATGATGGAAGATAAAGACTACCACTTCAATGTATTATTACTTTATTATAAAGTTTGGCAAAGTCCATTTTTACTTTGTTGATTGTGGAATTTACACCTACTTTTGGCACAATGTTCATGATAGTGCCTTGTTACTTTCAACGTTTTGTTTTTTCAGCTTACTTAAGGAGACTTAAACTTGATATTTACCAAATCTTTCTTCTTCAAAAAAAAAAGTAAAAAAAAAATAAAGCAAGAAACAGTTTAATTAATATTTGATCTAACATATTTTTTTGGTGCATTTCTTTCCTTTACTGTAATTTTACAGATTTTTCACCCCTTCCCCTTCTTCTACCCTGCTTCTCTTCCGGTAAGCACTAATATCCAATCGGCCCATTTGTTTCATTTTTTTTTTTTTCCATTATCCTATCCAAATGCACGCTTATTTTAATATTCACAATTTTAGTTAAAATTCAATTATATTTTATTCAAATCAAAACATTAACAATTACCTTTTTCAATAAAAGTTTTAAAATTAACAAAAACATATTCATTCACCCAAGCCACTATCACTTGTCAGTGGCCACCATTGGCCACCAACATTGTAAGGATGGACGATTGATTGGATCTAACCGTTCATGTATCAATTTGTCCTTTTTTGGTCAGATCTACAATAGATTTGACTAGATCTACGACTAAGGATCTGGTTTTTTTTTTTGTTAAGTAAAAGATCTAGTTGTTGACGGCCAAGATATGACAATTGTCAACAACCAGATTTGTGGTTGTAGATCTAGTTATTTTCGGCTAAATCCACATAGATATGATCGAAAAAGGTTAGACTGGTGCACGATCGACTAGATCTAGCCGGTCATGCACCATCTCAGGGTCTTACGACCACCGTCCGACGGTGGTGGCTAGCTATCGGCAATAGTTGGGTGGATATGGGTGTTTTTGTCAGTTTTTAAACTTTTATTATAGAGGGTGTTTAGTTAAATTAACAAACTTAGGGGTTTAAGAATACTCTAATTATTTTTAGAAAATATACCAAAAACATTCTTATAATCATATCCTAAAATATATACAGAATAAAATTTGACAAATGAAACATTTTAACTTGTAGCCAATACCATCCACTTTTTACATCTACAACTTTAAGTTAACCATAAAGAAACACACATTACTGCAATAGCATGTATAACAAAAGCATATGGAAGTAAAATTAATAAATCAAGGGTGACGATAAAAATTTAATAATAAATTTGATGGTAGGGGTAAATATTATTTGAAGGGGAATTTTATTCAATAAAACCTGAGGAAAATGGCATTAAACCCTTAAAATTTAATTATCTCTAAATTGATTAACTTCTTTTTTTCTTTAAAAAAAAAAAGAAAAACTCACAATCTTGGAATTTTGGTCTAGAGAAAAGAGGAGATTTTCGAAGTGATGTGGAGGGTTTTCGACATTGTATTGGTGAGATCTAACCTAAGACCAATACAGATATTGGTAAGATCTGATTTAGAATCCAACGCTAGCATTGGTGAGATATGGCCAAAATTGACCTGATTTTGCTCCCTAGGCTGGTTGTTTATTTTCAATTAGTTTCTAAGAGGACATATTTACATAGAAAATTAAATATCATTGATGAGCATAAATTTAATCATTCATCATCCTTGCTAAGAATAATTATAATCTTATTTTTATTATTATGTTTATTCTGAATTTAAAATAAATAATTGAAATTATAAAATATTCAATTAAAATGTAAATGTAAATGAAAGATAAATGATGATATTATCTAAATTTGTAATGTTCATTGATTGTGCCTGTTGCTTTCAATATTTTGTTTTTTAAGCTAACTTAAAGACTCACAATTTTTGCTTTAATTGTATATTATATATATAATTATATATATATATATATATATATATATATATATATATATATATATATTAATATATAACTATATATAATTATTATTACAATGACAGATACCAAATTTTTTTTTTCTTTTTATATATAAAAGTAATCACATAATAAAGTTTGACTTATACTACTAAATCTAAACTATAAAATAATTAAATCTAAATTATAAAATATTATTATGGATGAGTATGATTTTTTATAAAATTAATATCAAGACATCTTGACTAGAGAAGAGAATAATAATGTATTAATTATTCTATATCAAGACGTTCTAATATTAATTTCATCAGGACCATGCTTAATTTACCTTCCATGGAACGATGGAAATGGAAGTAATGAATGTGGATAGAGACGAAACCAACTAAAACATTAAAGGTGCGTTTGGTTTATTATTTTGGATAGGATTTTGGGAATAATATTGAGTAGTTGGATAAGGGAGTATTACGAGGTAAAATTTAAAAACGTATGAAAAAACCCTTAGGTTTGCTAATTTAATTAAACGTCCTAATGTATAAAATAACAAAAACACCCCCACCACCGTCGGAATCTGGCCGAGAAATCGCGTTACGACACAGACCGGTCATATCTGTGTCGTAATGCGTCGTTATGGCATTTTCCGACTAGATCCACCACGGATCTGGTCGAAAAAGGCCAGATCCACGGCCTGCTGTGGCCGCGACGGCAAAAAAAAACCAAAATGATTGCCAAAAATATGGCCGTCGTTTTCGGTCAATAATGGCCAAGATTTGGCCGTCGTTACGGCTAAATCCATGGTGGATCTAGCCGAAAAAGGCCAGATCGGTGAACTTCAGATCATTTCTGATCGACAGGTAGGCCGTTGTACAGATTCTGGCTACCACCGATGGTGGTTGTCGGAATCTGGCAAGTATTGGTCTTGGGAGTGTTTTTCCTAATTTTTAAACCTTTTTTTAGGAGATATTTAATGTAATTAATAACTTTATAGGGTTTAAAAATAATTAAAAAAATAGGATAATATTTCTAGAATAATATCCCAAACATTATTTAGAGAATATAATTATGAATATACTTAGAAATAATAAGCTAAACATGCCCTAAATTAACTTTGGTCGCATGCATCAATTTGCTTCTACCATACAGTGAAGATGTGATGTATCTGTTAGGGAATCTTAAACAGTGTGCCCTCTTCAATTATTGATGATGAAAGATAAAGACTACCACTTTAATGTATTATTACTTTATTATAAAGTTTGGCAAAGTCCATTTTTACTTTATTCATTGTGGAATTTACACCTTCTACTTTTGGCTCAATGTTCATGATTAGTGCCCTGTTGCTTTCAACATTTTGTTTTTTCAGCTTACTTAAGAAGACTTTTACTTTTGATATTTACCAAAGAAAAGCAAGAAACAGTTCAATTAATATTTGATATTTTTTGGTGAATTTCTTTGCTTTACTGTACTTTTATAGGTTTAGTGATTTAATGGTATCTGCTGAATAATGCAGAAAGTTCATTGGAATGTCGCTTTCTTTGTTGTCTTTTTGTTGACTAACAAAACATTTTGAGTCTTTCAAAATAATTTTAATAAAATTATCTTTGGTTTTGAACCATTTAACACACATGTTAATGTTACTAGTGAGCACATGAGATCACAAATTCACAATTCACAAATTTCCTGTATCACTTCAACCCTCTGTTATAGACATCTCTGAGTATGCTTTTCTTTTGCATTTTCTTCTACTAAGTCGCCCCAAACAAAGTCCAAAACCAGATCTTTCCTTGTATTTGCTTGAACATACTTTTACTGTGATTGTTGATCACTAGATTTTTCACTCCTTCCCCTTCTTCTGGATCCCCTGCTTCTCTTTCAGTAAGCAGTAATATCCATATCACTTCATATTTTAACTTGTAATCCGATTCTATCCACTTTTTGCATCTAAATTTCGCTGGTATATTTTCCTTGTCACTATTTTTCTGTTATTGTGGTTTTGTTCCCTAGTTATCCCGTTGTTTTCTCTGTTTTGTTTTATTTATTATTTTTTTTTTTTGGGTTCAGATCTATTTTTTCTGTAAGGGGTTGAGAATGGAAGAAGCTGCAGGGAATACTGTTTTAGAAGTTGGAAAGTGCTTAGCTGCTCCTATAGGGCGTCAATTTATGTACTTGTACAACTACAAAAGCAACTTTGACAATCTCGAAAAAGAAATTGGAAAGCTGAAGGATGCAAGAGACGAGGTGAAGGATAAGGTTGTTGCGGCTGAAAACAACGTAGAAAAGATCAAACAGCAGGTTAAAGACTGGCAGAGGAAAGTGGATTCCATCATTGATGAAGCAGAGCAGTTGATTCAGGAGAAAACAAACAGCCGATGTTTCAACTTGATCACCTGTTACAAAAATAGCAGGAAAGCATCGAAAAAGGTGGAGGCTGTAACTGAATTCCTGCAGGAAAAAGAAACATTCAGTGAAGTTTCCCTTCCTACCACTCGTGAAGACATTCGGCTTAGGCTTACGAACAAAGATTACGAGGAATTTGAATCCAGACTCTCAACTTTGAATGGTGTGTTGAACGCTGTAGAAGATGCTGAGGCGGGCATTATTGGGGTTTACGGAATGGGTGGCATTGGTAAAACCACGCTGGTCAAAGAAGTTGGTCAGCAAGCCAAGAAAAAACAGCTCTTGGATGAGGTGATTTTCGTAGAGGTATCTGACAAACCAGACACTAAAAAGATTCAAGATGAACTAGCAAATCAGTTAAGTCTGAAATTTGAGACGGAGGCAGAAAGAGCAAGCAAGTTGTATGCAAGATTGAAGACAGATAAGAAAATCCTTGTAATTTTAGATAATATCTGGGAAGAATTAAATTTGGAGGCTCTCGCAATTCCTTGTGGAAATGATCGTGGGGGATGTAAAGTATTGTTGACAGCAAGAGACCTTAATGTGTTACAGAGTATGGATTCTGTAAAGAATTTCCAGGTGGGTTTTTTAACTGAAGAAGAAGCTTGGAGCCTGTTTAAAAAGATGGCGGGTAATCAAAGTTACAGAATTTTCACATTTTCTTACATATTTTATTATTTGTCACAATTTTTGCCCCTTTGACCAGCAATCCAACTCCCCCTGCAGGTGATGTTGTTGATCAAACAATTATTAAGCGGGATTATCTGCCAAACGACGTATGTAAGGAATGCAGAGGCTTGCCGATCGTCATTACTACAATAGCAAGAGCGTTAAGGAACAAGAGACTTCGATCTCAATGGAAGGATGCGTTACGGGAATTGAAGATGCCTTCCCCAACAAAGTTTGCAGGGATACTGGAAAAGGAATACTCAAAGATAGCATTGAGTTACAATTATCTAAAAGGTGATGAACTCAAGAGAACTTTTTTAATTTGTAGTCTAATGGTAAATGATACTACCATTTCAGACGTGTTCAAATACATTATGGGCTTGGATATTCTTGAAGGAGTTATTTGTACGCTGGAACAAGCACGAGATAGACTAGAAAGTCTTGTCTGTGAACTGAAGGACGCCTGTTTGTTACTTGATGGGCAAAACAATGAACATTTTTCTATGCATGACGTTGTTCGTGCAGTTGTCATAACAATTGCATATAAAGATCAACATGTATTTACTGAGCGAAACAACATGGAGAGGGAATGGAGTAATAAAGATGAATTGAAAAAGTGCTCAAAAATCTCGCTAGCTGATACTAGTGTGATTAGTGAGCTTTGGCCTGAAGGTTTGGATTGCCCGAAACTTGAATTTTTCAGTATGAGGATGAAGGGTTCTTCTTTCAAAATCCCTGAGGAATTTTTTGTAGGGATGGGTAACCTCAAAGTTCTAAGTTTACTTCACATGAAGGTGTTGTCCTTGCCGTCGTCTCTTAGTCTTCTAATAAATCTTCAAACATTATGTTTGAATTATGGCAATTTTGCAGATATAACAATTATTGGAGAGTTGAGAAACCTAAAAATTCTTAGCTTGCGACACTGTAAGATTAAGAAATTGACAGGAGAAATAGGTAACTTGAGTCAACTAAGGTTGTTAGATTTAAGTAATTGTCGAAATCTACAAGTTATCGCACCAAATATTATATCATGCTTATTGCGATTAGAAGAATTGTATATGACTGGATGCTCTATAGTATGGAAGGTTGAAGCACTTGAGGAGTTGAAGCATTTGTCTCAACTGACAGCTTTAGAAATAAACATTTCCGATGATAAGATTTTGCCAAAAGACTTGTTTTCCAAAAAGTTGGAAAGATACAAAATATCGATAGGAGATGAGTTGTCTAGATATGGTCCGGGGTTCATAGATGGTGATGATGGGAAGTGGATGTATATTGAGAGCTTTTCGTATGATGATCAGGCCTCATTACGAACGCTGAAACTGAAATTCAGTTCTGTCATAAAAATTTGGCCAGAGCAATTTCAGTGCTTCAAGAATGTTGAATTCTTATGCTTAGACAAATTGGAGGGTATCAAGAATGATGTTTATGAATTAGACAAGGAGGGTTTTTCACAATTGAAATATCTCCATGTCCATAATAATCCTAACATCATGTGCATTGTTGACTCAACAAAGTGCATACCTTTTGTTGCCTTCCCCCTCTTGGAGTCTCTGATTCTTTTCAATTTGACTAACTTGAAAAAGATATGTTATGGTCAACCCACAACAAAGTCTTTCTACAACTTAAAGGTTATAGAAGTTCAAAGTTGTGCTAAATTGGAAAATATCTTCTCATTCTCCAATGCTAGTAGAAGCCTTCCACATCTTCAAAGAATTAGGGTGGAAGACTGTGAGAATATGAATGAGATTTTTGCTGTTGAAAGAGAAGACAGAGTAAAAAAGAATGAAGTGATTAATAAGATTGAATTCTTTCAATTACGCTTCTTGACTTTGATTAATCTTCCAAGAATTGCAAGCTTCTACTCAAAACCAAATACACCTTCAACATTGCAAACCAGACAGGTGGAATCATCAATTAATTTGCAGTCCAATGAAATCTATTCCGAGGATGAGCTACTTGATACTGTCACACCAATTTTCAACAAAAAGGTAATTTGTCTATATTTTCTTTATATTATTCTTATCCTTTTGCTCAATCCTTATAGTGATTTAAAATTTCAGTTAAATATCTTTACTAAATATTTGTTGTCAATGTTTAGACGTTTAAAACTAACTTTGGAGATACAATTTGTGTGCCTATATAGTATGCTGTCTTATCAGATGGCATATTGTGATAAATATTTCCATGATTGATACACAAAAGAGAGCTTTATAACATTAATGGCATGTCATATACTATTGTTTCTCGGCTTCATATGGCAAAATACTGAAACAAAAATCAACACTTTTGAGCAGGTTATTTTCCCTAGTTTGGAGGCCTTAGAACTTAGAGCAATCAATTCTGAAAAGATCTGGGACAGCCAACTTCCGACAATATCTTGTGGCTATCAAAATTTGAAAAGCTTGATTGTGCATGGCTGTCAAAAATTAAAATATTTATTTCCATCTCTGATAATCAAAAGCTTTGAGCAACTCCAACACCTTGAGATAAGGCATTGTAAGGAATTAAAGGAGATTATTGTCAAAGAAGAGGGAGCAGAAGCAACTGATACATTTATCTTTCCCCGAGTAGCCTTTCTAAAACTTGAAGACTTGCCAGAACTTACAACTTTCTACCTTGGTAAACACACTTTAGAATGGCCAATGTTAAAGAAGATGAAGGTGCGTAATTGTCACAGACTGCACATATTCACTTCAGAATATAAGGTACGATCTTTTTTCTATCTTAATAATAATAAGAAAAAAATAATAATTTTTGTCTTACAAGAGCGCATTAATATACAAAACCATAATTCTGTTTTTCATTTATTTAAAAAATCTTTTGAAAATCTTTTTGACAATGAATAAAGAAAAAAAAATATAATAAATAAACCTAGTACTATATATATTTTTAAGATTTACGAATGTTTTTTGTATCATTTTACCAAAAAATAGTTTATGTGCAGGTTGTTGTCCCCAATTTGGAGGCCTTAGAACTGTATTCAGTTAATTCTGAAATGATCTGGGATAGTCAACTAGCTACAATATCTCATTGCTATCAAAACTTGGCACGCTTGATTGTGGTTGGATGTGAAAAACTAAAATTTGTATTTTCATCTTCTATGGTCAAAAGCTTTGACCGGCTTGAACACCTTGAGGTACGCAATTGTAGGGTTTTAAAGGAGATTATTCAGAAAGGAGCAGAAGCAACTCCTACATTTATCTTTCCACGAGTAACCTTCCTACAACTCGAAGACTTACCAGAACTCGCAACATTCTATCCTGGAGTTCATACTTCTGAATGGCCACAATTAAAGAAGTTGGTAGTGTGTAATTGTGACAAAATAAAAATATTCACCTCAGAAAATATGAGCTTCCATGAAAACAATAAGGGTCAACTTGATATTTGGGAGCAACAATCCCTCTTCTTGGTCCAAAAGGTAAGTGTCGTTTTTTTTCTTTCTTTAACTTTTTCTAAATAAACTAACATAAAAAATAAACATATCTTGTTAAATAAATATATCTCTCTATATTCCTATTTTATATAAAGATTGCTTGATATTTATGTGTTGAATTGTTTGAGAGAGTTTCAACTTCAACTTGATTTTGTCAAATTGATCTGTAGATTAACTCCAATTTGGAGGAATTAACATTAAGCAGAGTGGACGACATGGTAACATTGCAACATCAAGTTCCAGAAAACTTCTTCAACAGATGTACAGTTGAGATCAAAGGTGATAGATCTACAAATATTCCGGTTGGCATCCTTCAAAGATTGAATAATCTGGAAAAACTTGTACTGAGAGAAGGTTCGTACAAAGAAATATTCACATGTGGAGAGGATGAGAAACGTACGGAGACATTGATACAAATAAAAAGTTTGGAATTGAGGAGTCTTTCTGATGTGAAATACTTGTGGAGGAATGACTTCAAACTGGACGCTGTTCTTCAAAATCTTGAAGTTTTAGAAGTAAGTTTCTGTAACAGAATGATAAATGTGCTACCATCCTCGACATCTTTCAAAAATTTAACAGTTTTGAAAGTAAGTTTCTGCGACGGATGGATAAACATAGTCATGCCATCGGTGGCAAAACATTTGGTACAGTTGAGAGAAATGGAAATAGAATATTGCGAAATGATGGTAGAAATAGTATCGAATGAGAAAGATATGGCAGTAGAAGATGAAATTGTTTTCAGCAAATTGAAGAAGTTGTCACTAAACTATTTAAGCAGTCTCACATGCTTCTGCCCTAGGAAATACACATTGAACTTCCCATCTTTGAAAGAATTAATTATCCAGCATTGTCCCAAGATGAAGTCTTTCTCTGGAGGAATCTTAAACACACCAAGTTTACTGAAAGTTCAACAAAATGAGCAGGATAAAGACGAATGGTGTTGGGAAGGTGACCTTAATACAACTATACAACATATGTACAAAGAAGAGGTATGCATTCTTTTAACAAGTATTTTTTCTTTGATTTTCTTATTCCCCTTCAAACTTGAATAGTTGACAATATAATTAAAGTTTATTAATATTAAAATTTAAAATTTAAATGTAAATAAATTCATAAATATTGAAAACTTAGAGTTTAAAAACTTGTAAAAGATAATAAATAATAAATATATATTGTAAATAATAATAATTTCTTTGTATTACCGAAAAATTTGTCCTGACCATTTCATGCTAAACAAATTAGATTTTGACATAAATTAAAGTACAGCTATTTGCATGATCCCTAGTTTGTCTACATTAAAATTTATATTTTGAAATACCATTTATTAAAATAAAAAACCGAAAGTAAAGAAATTATAAAAATTTGGAAATAAAAAAAATTGAAAACCCAAAAAATGAAAGGTAATTCATTCTCTACTCTGTGAATGCTGCATCATCAACGATATGACCTACCATCAATTCAATAGAAAAATTGATATTTAATTTGAGGTTCAATGTTGAAAAAAAAAAAAAAAATGGATGAAAGAGTTTGCGAAGAGGGGAGAAGGTGCTCAGTATATTTAGATATGATAGAGAGATTACTTCATGTTAATCTCAGATTACCTTCTCTCTCTCTTGTCTACCAACAGATTTTGAGGAAAAGCAGATTCATTTCACCTTAATAGGCTGCTGGTTGGGGATTTGAGTGAGCTTTCGCCTTTATTTAGAGAGAAGAGGGATGTTGTCTCTTAAATTACTTAGGTGCCCTCAACAATTTTCTAAATGGCTGTGTCATTTGGAATGAACACGCGCGTTTTAAGGCGAATGGTGGCATATATGAGTGCATGTGGAATTTTTCCACTTTGAGTGGGACAAAAATGCTTAGAATTGTATATTCAGGATTACATAGAGAATTACAAGAAGTTATCAGCTCTAGATAATAATAAGTTGAAATGTTATTTTTATTCGTATCATGATAATATAATGAGTTACATAATCCAAAATTATTTGGTGTAATATTTATCTTATAGTTTAAAAATTTATTGAAGATAATAATAGTAAAATTCATTGTATTACTATTAACTTTGTCTATCCTAATTCGGAGGAAACCTATGGCAATTTCCTTAATTGCCTTGCCATTGCCTTTGCTCATGCTTACTAGACATAAATAAATTAGTTTGACATAATAAAGTTATATAGTACAATTGCTATTTGCATGACTCCTAGTTTGTCTACGTCAAAATAAATATTTTTTTCTGCTTGCTTCCGATTTAAAATATATATATACAAAATTATTAAATACCATGTGAAATGTTAAGAGAATATAATTTTGATATGATTTATACGGTTATTTTTAGGTTAACTCCAATTGAATGATCACACTAAGTGGAGAGAACATACGTCTATAGGGCAAGACCAATTTCCAGAACATCAGTTTCCAAAGTGAAATTTCTTGAGATCATTAAGGATGATTCAGCACACTTTCCAATTGAAGTCCTTGAGGGGTTTAACAATCTTGAAAAACTGATATTAAGAGTTTGTCCATACAAAGAGATTTTTTCATGTGGAGAAGACGAGAAATTGCTGGGATGCTCACACAGATAAACATTGGAGTAGGGGGACTTTTTATTTGAAGGACATTTGGAAACAGACTCTCTCGGACTCAATATTCAAAATCTTGAAATGCTAGATGTCAATTATTGCCCCACTTTGATTAATCTACTGCCATCTTCAGCGACCTATGAAAGTCTAACAAGTCTAGACGTGTGGCCTGCGATGGATTGATAAACTTGGTATCTCTTCAACAGCCAAAAGTCTGTGCGACTCGAACGAATGAGAATATTGACTGTGAAATGATGACAGAAGTAGTATCAAATGAAGAGATACAGAAAATGATGAAATGTTTTCGACAAATTGCAGTTGTTGTCACTGGAAATTTAAAAAGTCTCACAAGTTTTTGCTTCGGAGTTACACTCAAATTCCCCTTTTGGAAGACTTGTGTGGTTGGATGCCCCAATATGAACACATTCTCTGGAGGAGTTTTAAGCACACCAAATTAGACAAAGAGAGCATATTATGTATGACTGAAAAATTGGGGAGGGTGACCTTAACACTACTATACAACATCTTCACAGGAAAATGGTAGTATTCAGTGAACAATTACTTTTATATGGATTTTCTTATTCCCGTTAACACTTGTGTATTGGTGATATTTAAATTGTTTTAAGATTTGTTTGGACTGCTTAAACATTAAGTGGTTTGATATCTGTACATGGCAGGTTGGTCAGAAATTTCCAGGCAGCTCTTCCAATAGTGCTTGAACAACAGAAGTGTGTCTGCCCAAAACACAAAGAAGTTGAGTTTTTAGTTAAATGCAATTTATACCTTATGGACAAAGAAAGTATCCTGCTGCTTCGTAATTTGGTGGTCTTATGCAAAATCCTAACAAAATTTTGTGTTAATACTTGTGGAAATTATGCAGGGGTTAAGTTATGGAGAGAATAATCCCAAAAGACATAAAAACTGCAGTTTCGGGTTTACCCACAATTGAATGCCTTGCAATGCTTGGTTCCAATCTCTACCGTTCAGAATGTAGAGTTGTGTCTCATGAACAACATATCCAAAAATCAGAACGATCGGACGGCAAACGAGTTTCAAATCACGATTTGATGATGCACTGTTCACAGACTCAAATCTCATATTTCTTCTCCGTTTCTCTTTGTTTTTGACTCACTCTCTGGATGATGGCTGGCTAGAAAGGACAGCCACTGGAAGAGAACACTCACTCTCTCACGTTTTTGGCTGCTGGACAATGAAGAAGATGAAGATAAGATGGAGTTGTTTTGGGCCTAATTTGTTGGACTACTCACCTCCATATGGGAGAGAAGAGGTAAGCCCAATCCAACACAAAATTATTAAATACCATGTGAAATGTTAAAGAGAATATTAATTTTGATAGCAACATCGTTGATAGATTTTTTTTCTGCTTGCTTCCGATTTAAAATATATATATATACACAAAATTATTAAATACCATGTGAAATGTTAAAGAGAATATTAATTTTGATATGATTTATACGGTTGATTTTTAGGTTAACTCCAATTTGGAATTGATCACACTAAGTGGAGAGAACATTGCGTCTATATGGCAAGACCAATTTCCAGAACATCAGTTTTCCAAAGTGAAAGTTCTTGAGATCATCAAGGATGATTCCGCACACTTTCCAATTGAAATCCTTGAGGGGTTTAACAATCTTGAAAAACTGATATTAAGAGTTTGTCCATACAAAGAGATTTTTTCATGTGGAGAAGACGAGAAATGTGCTGGGATGCTCACACAGATAAAACAATTGGAGCTATGGGGACTTTTTAATTTGAAGGACATTTGGAAACAAGACTCTCATCCGGACTCAATTATTCAAAATCTTGAAATGCTAGATGTCTATGATTGCCACACTTTGATTAATCTACTGCCATCTTCAGCAACCTATGAAAGTCTAACAAGTCTAAACGTATGGCGGTGTAATGGATTGATAAACTTGGTAATAGTTGGTATCATCTTCAACAGTCAAAAGTCTAGTGCGACTCGAAAAAATGATAATAAATGACTGTGGAATGATGACAGAAGTAGTATCAAATGAGGGAGATACAGAAAATGATGAAATTGTTTTCGACAAATTGAAGTAATTGTCACTTTGGTGTTTAAAGAGTCTCACAAGTTTCTGCTCTGCGAATTACACACTCAAATTCCCACTTTTGGAAGACTTAGGTGTGGTTGGATGCCCCAATATGAACACATTCTCTGGAGGAGTTTTAAGCACACCAAACTTAGACAAAGGAGAGCGGATTTGGTATGACTTTGTGGAGTGTTGGGAGGGTGACGTTAATACTACCATACAACATATTCACAAGAAAGTTGTAAGTATTTAGTCAATTACTTTTATCCGGATTTTCTTATTCCCGTAAACACTTGAACTATATGTTAAATTATTTTGTAATGCTAACATATTTTAACTTATTTTGAAATATATGTTAAATTATTTTGTGATATTTAAATTGTTTTAAGATTTGTTCGGACTGCTTAAACATGGAGTGTTTTGGTATCTGCACATGGCAGGTTGGTCAGAAATTTCCAGGCAGCTCTTCCAATAGTGCTTGAACAACAGAAATGTGTCCTCCTGTCCAAAACACAAAGAAGTTGAGTTTTTAGTTAATGCATTTTATACCTTATGGACAAAGAAAGTATCCTGTTGCTTCGTAATTTGGTGGTATCCAAAACCCTAACAAAATTTTGTGTTGATACTTGTGGAAATTATGCAGGGGTTAAGTTATGGAGAGAATAATCCCAAAAGACATAAAAACTGCAGTTTCGGGTTTACCCACAATTGACTGCCTTGCAATGCTTGGATTCCGATCTCCACCATTCAGAATGTAGAGTTGTGTCTCATGAACAATATATTCAAAAATCAGAACGATCGGGCGGCAAACAAACTCCAGATCACGATTTGATGATACACTGTTCACAGACTCAAAAACTCATATTTCTTCTCCGTTTCTGTTTGTTTTTGCCTCACTCTCTGGATGATGGCTGGCTAGAAAGGACAGCCACTGGAGGAGAACACTCACTCTCTCACGTTTTTGGCTGCTGGACAATGAAGAAGATGAAGATAAGATGGAGTTGTTTTGGGCCTAATTTGTTGGACTACTGACCTCCGATCTCCATATGGGAGAGAATGAGGTAAGCCCAACCCAACACCAGTTGCTACTGACGTTGTGCACTAGAAGTGCTACTTCCCTTGCTTGCAAAAGTTGATGTTCCCCCAAAAAGCACGGTGGTAGAATGACCAAAGCTGGGCTCCTTGATCTTCGGTTAGTAGGGCCTCTGCCTCTCCTCCTCTCTCGAGGTCTGCTACTGGAACCTTTGGTTTTAAAGGTGGTAACTTCATCTCGCTCTCCAGCTGTACACTTAATAAGATTTGATCTGTCGTATTTTTTGGTGCATTTTTATAGATTTAGTAATTTAATAGTTTGTTGAATAAAGCAGAAAAAAAAAAGTTTGTTGGCATGTTTCTTTCTTTGCTGTCTTTTTGTTGACTAACAAAACATTTTTAGCCTTTCAAAATAATTTTATTAAACCATTCAAATTCAGAACTGTCCTGTATCACTTCAACCCTCTGCTATAGACATCTCTGAGTACGCTTTCCTTTTTCATTTTCTTCTACTAATTCTCTCCATACAAAGTCCAAAACCAGACCTTTCCTTGTATTTGCTTGAAAACACTTTTACTCACTTGTTGATCACTAGATTTTTCACTCCTTCCCCTTCTTCTGGATCTGGATCCCCTGCTTCTCTTTTAGTAAGCACTAATATCCAAATCACTTCATATTTTAACTTGTAATCCGATTCTATCCACTTTTTGCATCTAAATTTCGCTGGAATAATTTCCTTGTCACTATTTTTCTGTTATTGTGGTTTTGTTCCCTGGTTGTCCCGTTGTTTTCTCTGTTTTGTTTTATTATTATTATTATTTTTTTTTTTTTTTGGTTCAGCTCTATTTTTTCTGAGGAAGGATAAAGGAAAAGGGGTTGAGAATGGAAGAAACTGCAGGGAATGCTGTTTTAGAAGTTGGAAAGTGCTTAGCTGCTCCTATAGGGCGTCCATTTATGTACTTGTACAACTACAAAAGCAACTTTAGCGATCTCGAAAAAGAAATTGGAAAGCTGAAGGATGCGAGAGATGAGGCGAAGGATAAGGTTGTTGCAGCTGAAAAGAACATGAAAAATATCAAACAGCAGGTTAAAGACTGGCAGAGGGACGTGGATTCCATCATTGATGAAGCAGACAAGTTGATTCAAGAGAAAACAAACAGCCGATGTTTCAACTTGATCACCTGTTACAAAAATAGCAGGAAAGCATCGAGAAAGGTGGAGGCTGTAACTGAATTCCTGCAGGAAAAAGAAACATGCAGTGAAGTTTCCCTTCCTACCACTCATGAAGACATTCGGCTTAAGAACAAAGATTACGAGGAATTTGAATCAAGACTCTCAACTTTGAATGGTGTGTTGAACGCTTTAGCAGATACTAAGGTGGGCATTATTGGAGTTTTCGGAATGGGTGGCATTGGCAAAACCACGCTGGTCAAAGAAGTTGGTCAGCAAGCCAAGAAAAAACAGCTCTTGGATGAGGTATCTGATAAAGCAGACACTAAAAAGATTCAAGATGAACTAGCAAATCAGTTACTTCTGAAATTTGAGACGGAGGCAGATAGAGCAAGTAAGTTTTATGGTTTTACATGGAAAATAAATAAATAAATGCGCCAAACTTCGTTCCGCGATTTCACTTTATACTTTGTTATATACTGTATCTATCAATTTGATAAATGAATATAACAATTATTTATTATCTAAGCACATAATGTACTATCAAAAGTTAGCGTAGCAAATTCAAAAGTAATTTTGAAACATTTATAACATATTCAGTATATATTTTTGCCCCTTTGACCAGCAATCCAACTCCCCCTGCAGGTGATGTTGTTGATCAAACAATTATCAAGCGGGATTATCTGCCGAACGACGTATGTATGGAATTTGTGTTAAAAAGTTCTAATTTTCAAGCCAAAGTTTGTTCTTTTATGTACTCATTTACTGCTTTGAGTAGACAAGTGTCTTATTTGTGTGATACATTTGGTTAAATTAAAGAGAAGGACAAGATCTTAAAAGATAAATTAGATCATTAATGAAAGTTCTGTTTTGGGTATGGGTAGGTTGGAGCAGAAGATGAGGCCAAAGACAAACGGATGAAAGGTTGTGCTGAAGAGGGAGATTCAAAGATCACAGAGCAAAACAACAACAACAACAAAAGTAACAGCAATAACAACAGAGAAACATCTGGTGATACTTCTAAAGAGAATTCAAAAGTTTCTGAGGTTCAAAAACCTGATTACATCCATGTCCGAGCACGCCGCGGTCAAGCCACTGATAGTCATAGCTTAGCTGAAAGAGTGAGTTGCAGTTTCAGTGTTTTCTGGCTTTGTTATCGGTAGATGTTATGAACAAAGTTTAATCAGATTATGCTGTAATTATTCAGGCTAGAAGGGAAAAAATCAGCGAGAGAATGAAGTGTTTGCAAGATTTAGTACCGGGGTGCAACAAGATCACTGGAAAAGCTTTAATGCTTGACCAAATCATCAACTATGTTCAATCTCTTCAACGACAAGTAGAGGTAATAATTTAACATGCTTATCAGTTTCAGGAGTTAGTACTTCATATTGTTAATCAACTGGATCTTCTCCTTTGTGATCATCACAATCAACAGTTCCTATCAATGAACTAGCTGCTGTCAATCCCAGGCTTGACTTCAACAGTGACAACTTATTTGCCAAAGAGGTAGAGGAAATATTTCACAAAATCTAAATTAAGCAGACTTTGATGTTGGACTTTAATGGCTGTCTAATTGTTACTGGCTGACTTAATAGGTGTTTCCTGCTTGTCCACCCAATTTTCCACCGATTGGAATGTCGTCAGATATGAATAATCCTGCTTATCTTCAGTTTAATCCTGTTTATTCTTCTTTTTGGAGTCACAATAGCCTCAGCTTTCCTTCATTTTCAAGCCATAAGTAACAGTGAAAGAGGTGGACCTGGCCTCATCCACAGGCAAGATCTCTTTGATTCTCTTTGTTTTCTGTGGATAGTGAAACATGATATTGCCTTTTCTCTTTCTTAATTGAAAATTAGGATGTCTAATCTGGGATGATCTTGATTGATCAAACAGAGACCATATAAACTAAATCGGTAGTAAAAGAAAACTTCATTTTGGCATTTAATAGGCCAAAACCCAAAAGAATCAATGACACGCCAATACTACAATTAATAGACATTTGCAGTCCTGCTAACAATATGACCAATCAAAATATTACAGAATACACAGCGTTCATGACTTCAATTTCTTACGTGTTCCAAGTTCCGTCATATCAGTGATTCATCACCAGCTTCTTCCAATCCAAACAATAATGAACTCTGTGTGACTAACCCCAGCAATGTAACTTTGAAAATTTCAGTTTTTCGATGGTAGTACCTTTTCCAGGAACAATTACGACAGGAGCAGATTTGCAATTGTGGAAGCAATACTCACTCACACTTCCCTGCGATACACTCTACAAAAATCCAACAACATACAAGAGAAGCATTACCACTGTAAGATAAGGCATTACAATAGTAAAAATAAAACACACTGCCACACAGAAAGAACCTTTGCATTAAGCTTCTGCCTCGGGTACCCATAACCACAGCCTCAGGCTTTATCCTTTCAGCTTCCTTGCAAATTACCTTACAATAATGTAATGCTAACTCTTCTCATAACACCTTGCATTGATTCTCAAAGTTACAATACTACACAGCAACCATATGAAGGTTTCAATATAAACTACAACATCTTTCACTCTCATTTATTGAATTCACATTTTTATTTTCACTCTTTCCATTCATTTTGTGACACATCAATTTATGTACAAAGTTTGTCGATTCATGTTACTAAGTTCTTTAACAGCTAATCATATACTAATTTAAAATTTATATTGAAGTGCATGATCGAGGGAATTATAATCCTGTAACTGTACTGTATATCAATGAAGAAGCAAACTTTACAAATATGGAGTTGTAACATATATACAAAACTAAGAACAAGGACCCAGAAGTCTTTCAGCAGCTCATTGTTAGCATTGATGCAGGCTTCAAATCAAGTAATTTTGGATCAAGCCTAGTACTGCTATTTGATGTTTTTTTTCATTTGACCTATAAAGGATATCATCAGTTGATCCACTTCATTAAACTAACATAAACAGAAACTCCAACTAATTTTAGAAATCAAACAAATTCTAGCAGATTTTCTTTTTTAACATCTCTCAAACGACAACGGATGAAGTTCACAAAAGACTACTAAAAAAGAAAAGCAAATCAATCACTGACTGACCATAGCAACTTCAAGAGCCTCTGGAGCAAGCTTCTGCATGAGCCCCCGGCTGGCCTCATAAACAATCTCGTTATTCACACCTACAAGAACAAACCCACCAAAACCCATATAGCAAAATTCAATCTTTCATCAAAATCCACAAACTACACGACCAAACAAATAAGAAAAAAAGTTATGGTTTCATACTTGAAACTGCATGAACAAGATGGATGGTGTCAGCAAGCCTGCAGAGATGAATGAGGGCCCAATAAAAAGCATGCTTGCTGTTAGGACCATGATCAACGGCTATTAATATGTCTCTCAGTCTCTGCCTCTCCTTCTCTCGCCCGTCTCTTGACAGGCTATTCGCAAGTGTACGAAATCGTGCAAGTAGTAAAACTTGAGTAAACGAGTGTCGAATCCCAAGGGAACTACCTACCAAGTACCAAACTATTATATTATATTGCTATTTGATTAAACTGAAGTTTAAGAATGAATTTAATGAAAAAGTAAATAAACTAACAACTAAAAATTAAGTACTGAATAAAAGTAGAACTTGTAAACGCTTTGAAGTAAAAATCAATATGACTAAACCTAGGGCATAGATTTCGCACCAATTTAATCCTATGTATTGATATTTGTTGTTAACCTAATTAAGCCTATTCTAAAAGCCAAATCCCCTAATATTCCACTAACTCTCTCTCGAGCAATTAGCAAATTAACCCTTAAGCAACAACCCAAGTTATCTCTAAAATGGATTTAGGAGCTAAGAGATCATTAAGATCTATGGAATTTCCCGGAGCCTCACAGATCGCGGTAACCTATCTCTAGCGTTCGCTCAATCTATGGTTTTATTACCTTAGACAAATTAGGTTTCATCTCTCGATCTCAACCCAACCCATGATATCATTCAACTCTCGGATCCTTAAGAATCAAAAGCATTACACACAATAATAAAACTTAGAATTAATGCTCAATAAGAATTAACAACAATAAAGTCAACACATATTCATAAATTGGGCTACATCTTTAGCCCTAGAAAGAGAATTAGTTCATAAAGACAGTAATGAAAACAACCATTATATTGAATAACATGAGTTCAAGAACGGAAAATAGAACACTTCTCTAATTTGTGAACGAGAATCGCAAGAATTTCGATCTCCAAAGTAGTGGCCGACCTTTTTCCTTCTTCAAATCCCCCTCTAACTTCTTCAAGACTCTCTTTTATATCCTTAGGGTTCTGGTCGTGCTTAGGAAAAATATTAGAAAACTTAGCCCATTCAGATTCGGATTAGGATACTGAATTAACACAAACCCGCGACCCATCACCGCGGCGGTAAGAATGATCGCCGTGGCGATCGTTCCTTCTATCCAAAGAATCTGTAAACTTCAGAATTAGATGAAGTAATCAACACAAACATTGTAGCTCTTTGAATAAGCTTTCCAACGCCACCAGAATCGTCAAATTCCGACTTCTACAGCTCAAGTTATGATAGAAACATCGAGGCATACTCATGATGAAGAATTTCCAGATTTTCCGTAACATCTTCGACGTACCACAACTCCCTCATTTCGACCCTGATTCTTGGTGGCCGTTTGTTCCTACGCATCGGGAATCCTATTGATACATCCTTTTCCCTTCAACACCCTGTTTGAGCCTGAAAATACTCAAATAACCCGTGATCCCGTAAAACGTATTTATGAAATATAAATTCAAATTCCAACAATTAAACACTTTTTTTCCACAAATAAACCATTGATCACTAATAAAATGTATACTTTCAAGCTCTTATCACAACCTCCAACCAGCTTTTTGCTAGTCCCTAGCAAACTAAGCGATAAATAAGTCTCTAAGCTTGAAAATAAAACAACCAATTAAAACCTATATCTAAACTACCTAAACCACTTTCGTAGATTGATACGATTGCATTTAGCGTATGCAACAAGCCTTTAAACCCCTAGCGGCCCTAGTTGGACGAGTTGTATTCTCGTGAGGTTTTCCAGCGATGATACCCCAAACCCACACTAAACGTATCCTAAACTGTAAAAGTATAAAAAACATAAACATAAGAAGAACACACTAAAAAAAGTCTTGGATCAATTCATAGATGTCTCAAAATTGCATATACACAAAATAAATAGATTATTAAAATCACCTAAAACCCCAGACAATGCAACCATCAATTCATTTTCGTTATCGACCTTAGAACATCCATAACACCCACAAACCATTAGTCTACAAACTCGAGGATGTTTATGCACACATTCATGAACAAAATTTAGATCTCTATTCGGGTTATGACTTAATTGTGATCATGGATCAAACTCCATACCCTCACTTTTCAAACCACTCCCACTAATGAGAATTTCACATCACTTGGGATCAATAGGTCTTTGTAAAGGTTGTAACTTTAGGCCAGGGTATGGGTCCAAGGAAATGATATAAACAAAGTAAGAGACTCAATTTTCCTCATGCAACTCTAAAATCAAATCGAACTCCACTCTTCTTCTCACACCCACCAGGTGTCCACTAATTTACCCCCTCAAACTTGTATCTTTTTTTTTTTTTTTTTTTTGATACCATAAGAGCAGGGAGATGCGTCTAAGGTGTACGTGGCGTTGTTATACCAGAGGTTGCCAAGTACTGCTAGAGTTGTTAAGGCGGGTTCTAGTTTCCACCGAAATACCCTTAAACTAGTCAGAATGTTCTTTTTTTTTTTTTTTTTTTTTAATAAACACATAAAGAAGGCTGAAACATGCACACATGCACATCCCACTGATTTTACAAACACTTCGCAACCCCCAATCAATTTCTTCGCACGCATGGTTTGTGACAACCACACTTTCTTACCAAAACTCGTAAAAAGCCTGAGAACAATAAAGTCTCTTAATATAAAACGGGTAGGATTGTGTTTTAGGCTCAGAATCAGGATAGGGTAAACATTAAGTTCAAAGAACGAAAGAAACAAGGCAAAATTGTGTTTAAGAAGGCTCACGGGCTAACTAGCGATGACAAAACAAGGTTGGCTTGAAAGGCTCAATCGGTCCAAAAACAGCCTAAATCATTTCCTAAGTGATGTGAATTCTAGGATTTCGCCTTGGTGATTATCAAATGAGTTCTAGAGTTTGTTGAAATCACAATAAAATCATGAAAACTTCATACATAACACGTCCTAATAGGTGACTGAACCACTTTCACCACAGTTCACTAGGGTGTCACTCCATGTCATTATATTCACACACATCCATACAAAGGTAAAAATTAATTTCCTCCATTCATTTATGTTTATTCAATCACATTCTTATCATGCATTGACTTTATCCAAGAGACAAAAACAAATGCTCTGCCAATTTAAATTCTTAAATTCCTACCCCCAACGAAAAAAATCAACATTGTCCCCATGTTAAGCGAGAGTAAAAGAAAGAAAACGTTACCGCATCCTCAACAAAATAAGCCGTCCAGTCATATACACCTCTTTCTATACAACACAGAGAAACCGCTAAATAGACTTTGTCGCCATCAGGTTATGCAAATAAAAATGGATAAAAAGAGCAGGAACAAAAACAAATAAACAGACTAATAGTTCACAAATGTCAAAAGAAGCACAGTAGACAACGGTTAGTACATCAAAACAGAAAAATAAACAATGACCGACATAAACTGCACTAACAA